CCGTCCGTGGGCGGTGCCGCTTGTGGAAGTGGACGACGTTTTTAGCGCGCCTCTTCCCATGAGCCCTGCCCACGCATCTATGCCGCCTTTCAGGAGCTTGGCCGGCTTCGTGGCCTCGGATTCGTAGTCGAAATGTTTCAAAGCGTTGTAGAGGCCCAGCAAAGCCCTTTCTGTAGCAGTGACGCCTCTCCAGTTGATTTCCTCCGAGTCTTCGTCGTAGAATACTATCAGATCGCACTCGCTGCGCTTGCGGAATAGCTGCTGCTCGCCCTGCGGCGCGAGGATCATACTGTCTGCTACCTCCTCCGCTGAGATGTTCTCTCGCTGTAGGATTTCGGGCTCAATACATATGGTCCACTGCGACATGATATGGCCGTCGTCGAAATCCTCTCGGCTCCTGATATCGATGATGAGGGTCTTGAAACCGCTGGACGAGGCTTTCATGTAGTTCAGAAGATTTTCAGGGGTCACCGTATCACCGTCTGGGATGACGACTTTGGGGCGTGCAGGAGCGGCCGTCCGTCCGGCGGGCTGTGCGGGCACGAAATAGTCATCTTTCAGCTGAGGCGACCTGGTCTGGCTGGCGGACGAGGGTGTGCTGGAGCCTGTCCTGCTAAACATGCTCCTCGCATTGCTCGAGGGTAGGTTGGCCGATTCGTGCGAGACGGTGCCTCTGGCCGGACTGTAAATGGCCGCCGGCATTGTTGGAAGGTCTGGCAGATGGCTCACCAGCGAGATTCCGGCCTTCTCCGCCGGTGTTGGTCGCAGCTCCTGCGGGCCTGGGTGGTGCGCACCCGTGGTGTGCATTGACAGAGACCCATGGGAGTCGACCGGGGACTTTTGCCCTCGTAACTTCGCAAAGCGCTCAGCAAGAAGGTCTGGAGTCTTGTTCGTTTCTGACGCGCCTCCGACGGCCGGCACCCGATTCGGAACTCCAGCAAAGGAGTCGGCCAAATCGCGGCTTGACCGAGGGCTGTGGGTACCCCCGTTGGTGTAGCCGTTGCCTTGTGGAGTCCTCGACCCGTTGGGAAACTGACCAGAGGCCCGGCTACCGTGCGGCGATACCGCCGGTGACTGGCGCCCGTATAAGGGCTGCACGCCGGTCCGCTGGTTGTCACGCTTGATTTCCTCCTTGATTTTCTCAAATGCAGGATGTAGCGCCTGAATCTTTTTCATAAGCTCTGTGTGTCGCGCAGCTAGAGACTTCCTATCCGACAACTTGGGGAAGTCCTTGTTCTTGGGAACCATCTCAATAGCTATCATTGTTGCGGCCACATACTCCCTCAGCGCATAGTCGGGGCGGCGGCCGAAGTTCCTGAAGGCATCGGCATTGCGAAGACATTGCTCGCCCTCAGCGATGACGGCTTCTATAGACGAGGCGCTGCTGGCCTTGGGGGTCGGGTTGAGAACATCGTCGATGTGCAGGAGCGCCTTGCCGTTGGCCGGCACGGCTCCGCTGGCCATAGCGAGGCTGCTCGAGTATCGATCGGCGGGAGACTGTAGGCTTGAGTCGAGATAGGCCCACAAGATAGATCCTTCCTGCCAGGCTTGGGCCACGAAGAACCACGGGAATGAAAGGGCTGCGCAGGGGCTGGCGGGCCCCTCGCATGCAGCTCCGGTACAGCCCTTGCAGGGGGCAGCTAGTGGGCAAGTTTGCGAGCAGTTGGTGGCTTGGTTGCAGGTATTCAGGGGCCGTTTCGCGGCCGTGTCATTGCGCTCGAGGTCGAATGGGGAGGTTCTTGGAGCGCGAGGGTGAGCGACGGTGGCATCCGTGGCAGCGGGCAGCCGGGAGGGACTAGATGTCGGTTCGTGATGTGTATTGTACTGTGAGAGGGGTCCCCGCAGGCCTTGCGCAGGATCATTCGGATGGACTGGAATGCGCAGCTATCATTCTTTGTCCAACTTCCTAGCTGTCTTCGGACGAGCAGCCAGGTCGGGCCTCGATGGCGCGGGATGTACGGGTTCGGAGGGGCTCGGTATACAGTCGTCGCCGACACGGGGTAATATGGAGCTGTAGATGGCGGTTCGAACTAGGCAAGGCAAACGATGACATCTAATGATAGGCCGTGCTTGTGCAGGGCCCATGTGGCAAGTTGGCTGAAAATGGAACCCCAGTAAAGAAGCGCAGCGCTTGGCTGATGCTCCACAGGACCACAGGATTCGTCAGCCCCAGGCAGGCGGCACACGCAGCGCTGAGTGTCGGGCAGGCACCGGACCGCAATAGCTTTGCGTCATACTGGACCAACCCCAGCCCTCGACTCCATCTCAAACAACCCAACGCCCAGCCGAGCTGCCAACGCGTCCTCACCACAACCATCGCGATCCATCCCCAACCCGGCATTCGAACCGCATCCTGTTTGCTCTGAAGCCGGCTATCAATCCAAGCACCCATCGAGATGATGGGCTGGTGGTCTTCTGGCGCCAACACGGCGCTCGAGGAGCAGATCGAGAAGGCAACCAGCAGCAGCCTGTACGAAACCAACCTCTCCCACCCACCACCCTACCCCCGCTGTCGCTGCCTAGACTAGCCGCGCGTACCTGTGACTGACCCTGCTGCAGAGAGGATATTGCACTCAACCTCGAGATCTCCGATGTCATCCGCTCGAAGACGGTGCCGCCCAAAGATGCCATGCGCTCGCTCAAACGGCGCATCGGCCATAAGAATCCAAACACCCAGCTGAGCGCTCTTGAGGTTCGTTTGCTGCTCAAGACCTCAGAAACAGCTTTAGTCGCAGACCGGGTGGTGCTAACGGCAGGAGCTAGCTCACGGACACGTGTGTAAAGAACGGCGGGCAGCACTTCCTTGTCGAGATAGCCTCGCGCGAGTTCATCGATAATCTGGTGTCGCTGCTGAAAGCAACCGGCCCCGCCGCCGTCAACGCCGAGGTGCGCGGTAAAATTCTCGAGCTGATCCAGTCGTGGGCTGCCGTGACAGAGGGTCGCTACGAGCTAGCCTACATTGGTGAGGTCTATAAGACGTTGCAGCGCGAGGGTTTCCAGTTCCCCCCTAGTGTCGCTGTCTCCAGCAGCATGATAGACAGCAGTGCGGTAAGCTTCGTTCTTGCGCCCCCCGAACTATCTGTGCGGACCCAGGCTCACACATACCCTTCGATCCGCAGCCCCCCGAGTGGACCGATTCGGATGTTTGCATGCGGTGCCGGACGCCGTTCACCTTTACGAATCGCAAGCACCACTGCCGGAACTGCGGTAGCTGCTTCGACCAGCAATGTTCGTCCAAGTCGCTCCCGCTGCCCCACCTTGGAATACTACAGGCCGTGCGCGTCGACGACGGATGCTACGCCCGGCTCACCGACAAGAATCGCGGCGGCGGCGGCAGCGGCCATGCGGCAAAGGACGGGCAAACGCCGAACCTGTACTCGTCGTTCCCCCATAAGAACCGCTCGTCTTCGACGATGCAACCGCGAAACGCCAGGGTTGACGATGGTTTCGACGAGGACTTGAAAAAGGCTCTGGCCATGAGCTTGGAAGAAGTTAAGAGCCACTCGAGGGGATATAACACGGCGCCCAGCAGCGGTCCCGCCACTCAGTCCTCCAAGGTTAACGGACACACCCCGCCTGCCTCGAAGCAACCAGTTGAGGAAGAGGATGACGACCTCAAGGCAGCCATTGCGGCGTCCCTCGCCGATATGGAGGTTGAGAAGAAGCAACACGCCGCCGTTTTACATGAGCAGACACACAGCGCCGAGCCGTCGAAAGCCGCAACCTTGACACAGCCCAAGAACGACTATGAGCTCACGCCTGTTGAGGCTGAGAACATCAACTTGTTTGCGACCCTGGTAGACCGTCTTCAGACTCAGCCTCCCGGTACCATTCTTCGGGAGCCGCAGATCCAGGAGCTCTACGATAGCATTGGTACTCTGAGGCCGAAGCTGGCGAGAACTTACGGAGAGACTATGAGTAAACATGGTGAGTGGATGAGATGATATAGATTCCCCGTCGCACGTGCTTCCTCTGTTCTAACCGCCAGTATCCAGACACTCTCCTCGACCTCCACGCCAAGCTTGCAACAGTCGTGCGGTACTACGACCGGATGCTCGAGGAGCGTCTTTCCAAGGCGTATGGCCAACACGCCTATGGAGGATACAATTTGCCCGCGCCACGCCAAGCCCCCGGCCCCTATCAGTCTCTCCAAGGCCCGAGCGCCCCGACGAGCATTCCGGGGGAGAGCTTTTATACGGGAGAGCCTCAACATGACTACTCACGACAAGCCCCTCAGCCGTCCTACCCCCCTCCGCATCACCAGCCTCCCCAACAGCAACATCAGCAGTCGGTGCAGTACGACAAGCGAGCCTCGGTCTCGGGTCCGCCCGTCGGCCAGTTTGCGCCGCCACAAAGAACTGAGAGCTGGCAGCTCCCTCATGCACCTAGCCAGCCTCAACAATACCAGTACCCCCAGCCCGATGCCCCTCCACCACAAGCAGTAGCTCACGGACAGGCTCCCTCCCAGCCCACGCTTGCCGCCCCCGGAGCCCCTGACTCGGGTGGGGTCACACCGACGACGGACCCCAGCGCCGCCTACTACTTCAACCAGGCGCAAGTCTCGGCGCTGCAGACACCTGTGGCCGCGCCGGCTGAGCCAGCGCGATCGCCGTATCCTAGTCTTCAGCAGCCCGCGCAGTACCAGAGCCCGGCCCCTGCACCTTCCCACCCAGCACAGCAACAGCCGCAGCCTCCACAGCCACAGCAACCACAACAGACGCAGCAAGAACAAAAACACCCACAGCAACCTTACTGGCAGCACTCGGCTGCTCAGAGCACGGCTCTTCCGGCCACCCACCAGCCGTGGCCCCAAGCTCCAAGTGGGTCGTATCCTAGCTATCAGCAGGAAGCCTTCCCCTCGGCACCACACCATGCTCCGCAGAAGCCGGCGGTTGAGGAGAGCCTTATTGAGCTATAATTGCATCAAGTCTAACGGCACAACATATAGCTTGTGTTGGGCTGGCTTTTCATACTCTTTTCCATCTCCCTGTACCTTGTCCGCTTTGACGGTGTATCCCTATGGACCCTTGCACATTTGGGAACGGCGTTTCCGTTAGTATGGTAGGGGCGATTGCGCTGTGGGTGTTATTTGTGTGTTCTTAGGCTTTTTCTATGCCAGTTCCCCAGATTCTTGGAAGTGTTTGTTGAATGGGCAAGACATTCTTTCGCCGCGACAATACGAGAAGGTAGACAGACCAAGACGCGGGCATAAAGTTGGAGCAGATAGGCGAGAAGATACCTGTGGTTCCTCCTGCGTGAGTGATGTTTTGGCTACAACTGCTACGGGGCGGTTGGCTTTGTGTACTGCAAGAAGGACAAAAACATTGCAGCCCGTGACACCAAACATTCCAGATTTGTTGATGCGCCCAGAATAGAGCATTCCAGTCCATGGACTAGGGCGTGCTCAGATGTGCCAGCCGGATCCGTTTTACCACCTCCCTTTGCGCGTCGAGACAAAGAAGGGCATGGGTATCTCGCTGTTTGTCGGAGGGAAAGCCCATCTTCCACGCCGTCAACTCATCCAAGTCGCCCTTACGAGCTATACAAAGAACGAGGCACTGCGGTCGCTTTCTAGCCATATTTCTCAACAACGCCCGCAACACACTCACAACTGACAAGATGCCGACAGACCGGGCGCAGGTGACGGACCTCAACGGGGAGGCAGAGGGCTACCCTGAAGACTTGTACGACGAATTCCTACTCGACGAGCCTAAGGCACCTGCCCCGCCGCAGCTGCGGTTCGGGCTTGGCGAGAACCTGGAGTCAGGATGGTGGACGGAGCAGGACGCCAACGCGGCCCACTGCCATGACGACGACGACGACGACAACGGCGACGGCCTCGACGCCGCGGAGCGCAAGCAGCTGGCGCTGCAGCTGCGGGCCGAGGCGTGGGAGGACCGGTCGGCGGCCGAGGCGCTAGCCGATGCGGTGCCGCCCGAGCTGGTCACGCGCG